GAGAGAGTTAGGTTCCATAATTATAAATTTATATTTTAATTATATATGTATTTAATATCATATAACTCCTTTTCAACAGTATTCAAGCAATAATAATAATTATATATATATATAATATAACAATAATAATAATAATTTTTTATTATATTATATGTCTGATTATTTTAGGCATATATTAAAACGCTCTGCTATTTTTACGCGCTAAGAAAGTTTGCATTACTACGCATGTGCGATTTCTCCACGTGATCATGATATATATCATGCACGTGATAAATAAGACAAATTTTCTAACCTCAAAAAATGTTACTTTTCATACAGTTAACTTTATATAAATAATTCTTTTTTACGATTGAGTATATAGATCGAGTCTATATATTACGTCCATTTTGATTCAAGTCTAGATTTTATTTTAAATATTTTTATATTAAATATTCAAAATTATTATTGATATTTTTTATTTCACATCAATAATTATTATCATCTATTCTTTTGTATAACTAAGTTTAAGGAATTAAAAAAAGTAAAAAGGTAAAGTTTTGAAAATCATCACATAATGGATAATATATCGATAGATATAAGTGAGGACGAATTAGTAGCAGAAATTACCGAATTACGTGAACTATTACGTATGAAAGAGGCTAAATTAACTCATTTGCGACGTGAAAAACAAATTGCCCAAGAATATGGTTTAAACAACGACGAAATTTGTAGATACAGCCGGCAACTCTTTTTGAAAGAAGTTGGTGTGAAAGGTATGCCATAAGACTGCTTATAACATGCATAAAGAAAAGTATAATAAAAATTTCTTAATAAAATATTTTACTATATCTTATATATGACAAGTCAAACTCTCTTATGTATAAAATATTCGTAACATAATTTTATGTACACACACGCGACACACGCGCACACACACACATACACACACACAATGTATAAAAAGAGTATAGTAGGAGAGTACATAATTTTTTTGATAGATTCTCATTTTTTTTAGGTCAAAAGAAGATAAAGGACAGTTCTGTACTTATTGTCGGAGCTGGTGGTCTCGGTTGCCCTGCAGCATTGTATTTAACTTGTGCTGGCGTTGGTTGCATTGGCATAGTAGATTATGATGATGTCGAAATAAATAATCTTCATAGACAGTTATTGTATACAGAAACAAGCGTAGGTACCGCTAAAGTTATCGCAGCAGCAGAAAGTCTTAATCGGTATAACCGCATTATGAATTAATTGTATATTGATTGAAATTAGATGAAAATTGTTTTTGCAGACATAATTAAGTTTTTTGCATGTAATAGTCTTCTTATTTTTTTTCACATTTA